TATAACGAAATCCGAGATCTATATTTTAATTAGATTGCAAAAAAATAAATTTGCTGAAAGCTTCCGAGACAAAGTATTACGATATGGAAATTACCATTTTTATGACATAAAGAAAAAAGCATCATCTTCGTATAGATGTCGTGACCATAAACAGCAATTGTATCATTTAGGTTGTTTGGTTGCAACAGTTATATAAAACAAATGACAAGAATATTTTTTATTAGAATACCAATAACTATTATTTCATTATAATTTTTCCTTAACGTATCAGCTAATTAACAATAATGTATTCCCTGAGAAAATCACATGAACTTTCCCACACTATGATTAATAGTTTTAAATATGTCTTTACCAAAAATATTTACAGATCGAGTGTGTTCTATATATAATAATGTAAATGCTTAATGTAAAAAAAGAAACACGTAATCTTAGAATTTTTGTCAATGTTACATGTTTGTATTTTTGTTGTTTATTTTGTTATTAAGTAACAATCCCATTGTTTGTATTTTATACTAATGAAATATCTTATCTCAATATCTCATCATATTCCGCACATGTGCAACAGTTCGTCCGGTATCTTCAATAAAAAAATATTCATGATTTAAGAAAAGTGATATGAAATTTTAATATTCTATCAGTTCCCGATTGATTAGACTTTACTTCATGTATGCATTTTATGTATTTATTTATCAGTTATTGTATTTGCATATATTTATTACAAGTTATTGTGCTGATGAGCATTAGTGCTTAAAGTATTAAAAGAATATTGAATTGAAAGAAATGTTACCTATTTTCCTGTGACTTTTTTTTAGAGTATTTAGTTCCCATAGGCATGACTTTTCCCCTACATTCTGTATATCGTAGCCTAGCTACTATAGTGGTCGAGTGACTGTTCAAGTCTGGGTATGTCGTACTTTGCTTGCAAGTCATACCAGAGACATATATATACTAAATACATCTAGTATATGTCTCTGGTCATACATATGTGTATATACTCTGTTTCAACCATGTTGCGATTTCAAGGTAAAACCAATTTCACAGTCCTACAACTATGCCCAAGAATTCGCATCAAAATGATGTTGGATGGAAAATCAGCTTATCACCAACACCACTTAGAAAACACAAAATTTTCAAATAAATTTGTCATTCCCATTATAAGTTTGTTAGTTGATGAATACCACATGTTTAGTTTTCTTGATAATTGGTGGTAATTGTTGCATGAATGAATTAATAGTAAATACAAATGTGAATATTTAGTTAGCATTAAAAATGTAAACATGTAATACAAATTAAAAATTATAGGAAGACAAATAAAAAAAAATAATGTGTAGGGAAATATAGGCCTATAACATCATAAACTTTCCTTCATCCTTTTTAATATCTAATTTCCATGATTAGTTATAAAAATGTTAAAATAATCAAAATTTCAATTAATTTCATTGTTCCTGTCCTGGAATGAGTATAATATCAGAAACTGGACACATTGTGTATTATATCATCTCTACTGTTATTACAAACTCAATTTTTGGTTTTAAACATCTGTTTGTTATTAAAGTAATATTATCTGTCCCTTTATTAGCATCAGATGACAGATTTACATCTTTGATTAACCATTTTATAATTGAGAGAAGATAGGAAATTTTAACTCTGAAGGGTTTGGATGTAAGACTGTTCAGTTTTATTTGTATGTTCTCATTCCAGTTTTTACTTCAAATTGTAAAATCATTTATAATAACAGAAGAGGAACTAGTATACTAGTATACTAATATACTACAGAGACATCTACTATTTAGTATATGTCTCTGTATACTAGTTCCCTAGTAATGGACTTCTGATACTAGCGAAATATTCGTTATCTGTATGATCCAGTATCACAGTACTTTGATTTAGTAAGTTGTTTTTGCTGTTCCATCATAGAAACAAACCCTTTATCTTGTGCCTTGTATGCTCTGACCAATAAACACATATATTCACATATTTGTATGGCGACATATCATTTCAATTAAACTAGTCATCCATCTCACAATCGTACATAGTCTAAATATTTTTAATATCATTATGTATATTTACGATATCCGGAATTTTGAGTGTCATTTCCGGCATGTGTAATTTGATACTGATTTGTACACAGAATTTGCAAACTTTTGCAACTTTTGCCCAGTCAGGAGACCCATTTTGGCTGTGGTAAGTGGCACGATTCAACATAATATTTAAATGCAGGACAGTTTAAAGTTGCATTCTTTTACTTTTAGGTGTTTGAGTACTTTTGGATAACATTTATTGATTAAATTTTCGAAAGACCGAAAGAGGCACTTTACGAGGGGTCTTTATTTTTACTGAGTTTTAAACTCAGATCCTAGAACATGCATATTGAAGTTGTGCACCTTCCATTATTGATATCATTCCGGAATTTCCCCCCTTTTGTATTATTTTCTACTTTTTTTCTTGGAACTGTTGGTTTTTTTTTTGTAATAAGAGTATTAGTAAATCAATTAAAACAGCAGTTTATATAATTTAAAACAGATTATGACCACTTGCCCACAATAGGATAATTGCAACCCCTTTGCAATATATTATCCCAAATGGTATATCATATTTCTTTACTTAAGGGAAAATATAACATGAAATTATACAAGTTTCACATTCATGCATTTTACCATACATTTTTAATGTGTCATGCACAATGCTTATGTATTTAAAATTTTTTGTACATCACATTAGGAGGTGATTGTCCAATAATGATCAGTGATCACAGGGGTGAAAATTAACTTTGTAAGGCCAGTAGCCAGCTGGGCTACTAGACTTGAAAATCAGTTAGCCCAGACAAAAAGTTAGTAGTCCACTTTATTTCACTATGAGTATCACAGGTGAAGCCCTCGAAGCGGGCTGAACTTGCTAGGGGTATCGGGTCCGTTCGCGCCCAATACACGTTCGCACCCTACACGTTCGCACCCCACACGTTCGCCCCCTAGGTCCGTTCGCACCCTACACGTTCGCACCCTTTTTTTATTCAAAAACCTGATAAATCAGTCAGGGGTACTACTTGTACAAGTAATTTTTATTTACTTGAAGAAGTAAATAAAATATACTTATACAAGTTAATTATATTGTTTGAATAATCTCCCCTTAATTTTCTAAAAAATTTACTTGTATAAGTAAATTTTTTTACAATCCCACAAAAATTCTCAAGTTTTGAGATGTAAAATCATGCCTTTAATAATTTTTCTCAGGTTAGCTCATAATTTTTGATAAGAGTTCAATGTTTCATCTCATTAATTCAACAAAGAAACTGATTGAGCAAAGATCTTAAGTATTTGCGCAAGGCCTTCAAAAATTGCTCCTTGGGGGCTTGTAAATGAGCAGTGTTCTAAAGATAAAAGACAAATGAGATTTTCATTGTCCATGAAATTACACTTAAATGAATAGTAAAGACATCTGCAAAGGACAGACAATTCAAAATTCTGTTAGAGCAAAGAAGTTCTAAGAATTCAAGAAAAGAAGATAGGATGACTTTTTTACTTGTATAAGTAAAAAAATCTGAACGCCTAAGGGACATAACTAGGCCAAAAAATAATTTACTTATACAAGTAAATAAAATACACTTGTATAAGTATCCTACAAATTTACTTATATAAGTATATTATAATTACTTCTTCAAGTAAATAAAAATTACTTGTACAAGTAGTACCCCTGACTGTAAATTTTTAGATGTTTTGTAAAATATTTTTATTTTCATAAATAAAAATTCGGGAATTTTTAAATGAAATATTGTTTTAAATTGATTTGATGATTAATTATTAAATGTTAATTATGTATGATTACTGCTAATTGGTATTTATACACAGCCTAATATGATGTTATTGTTGGGTGTTTAAAAATCATGATTGTTGTCATGGTTGTTTTAACTTGCTTTAAATGTAAATACTGCATGTATTTAGCTTGGTATGAGTAAAACTTTGAAGATTTTAAATAAAAAACATGAAAGATAATTGTTTTTAACAGCTTGGCTCCTTTGATCTCATGTGTGTCAGAATCTCACTTTATTCATAAACAATGAAAAAAAATATTTATAGCAATACACTATCCAAAACATGATTACGAATTATTCAACATATAAAAAAAAAACGTCAGAATCCCATTTCCTTTTGAAACAATAAAAAAGAAATATTTATAGCAATACACTAACCAAAACATGATTAAGATTTTATCAACACCTAAAAAACGTTGTCAGAATCTCACTTTATTTAGAAACAATGAAAAAAAATAATTTATATATATATATATCTAAAAATTGCGGTTTTTATCCAACGCAATCATAGGTTTGAACGTTGTTTTCAATTAAGACTTGTATATATATAGATATAAATAGAGCAATACACTTACCTAAACATGATTAAAAATTTTTCAACACAAAACTAAAATACTGGTCGTCAGAATCTCACTTAATTTAAAAACAATGAAAAAAAAATGTTAATAGCAATACATTTACCATTTACCATGACACAAAAAAAACCTTGTCAGAATCTCACTTTATTTAGAAACAATGAAAAAAATATATATTTATAGCAATACACTTACCAAATTATTAAACACAAAACCAATAAAAATTGGGCGCGAACGTGTGGGGTGCGAACGTGTAGGGTGCGAAAGTGAAAGGGGGCGAACGTGATTGGGCGCGAACGGACCCGGATTCCTTGCTAGGGGGGTTTGGGGGCATGCCCCCCCCCCCCCCCCCCCCCCCAAGAAAATTTTGAAATTTTAGACTCAAAACCCTGCATTCTGAGCATACCTGGAGGTGATTTAGATGCTTGGGAAAATGTAAATTTTGTCTTATTTTTGTTGTTGACTTCAATCAAATTTAATTAAAAAAAAATCATTTACAAAATGGGAATCTTCATACCCTGTGTACCAGTTTTTTTTTTAATATCTTTTGAAGACAACTAAAGAATTCTCTGTCCTTAAATACATGTAGATGAATGATGAAATATTTAATTTTATTTCTTTAATAATCTAATTTATTAAATATCTTGATCGATTTATTTTGCGTTACTACGTACATTTGTAAACAAATGACCCCCTTTTTTCTCAAAAGACTTGTACACGTACTTCAAAAGCATTGTCATAAAATTGATATCTCCTCTGATTTTCTCTTTTTTTGTAAACTGTTCAGTAAGTAGGAAACTAAAATCATTTTGAACTAATGTTATTTATTTGTGGTCAACAATATTCTACTTTCGTTTTTGACCTTCATTCTCTGGCATGACTTCCAAAACGGTCATATATTCCGGACTTGACCGAAATTTATATAAAAAGTCCGGCTGCTCTCAGCCTCAAACGGTCAAATATCATAGGTTTACCACTTTTTGTTATTCAAGGCATTTTCATAAAACGGTCATTTCACATTTTTTACCAACTATCGATCGTAAAAAATGTCCGTTTGGGCATTATAGTTTATAATTGTGACAATCTATTTCACAAAGATATTTCGGTCATATTTGGGTTTAATTAAACAGATGCAGCATATTTCATACTTTGAAGTGTCTCAGTTAGTCTAATCCTCTGGGTACACAAATGCACGGCTTGGTACATCAATAAAAAGTAGAAATAAAAATTTGTTCTTTTATTTAAAAAACAACAAGCTGTCAAACAATTATCCCTTCAATAAGTAATATTGAAGCCATAAATCATTCACTGATTACAGGTCATTATCTTTGATGAGAGACCTTAGCTTGTCTTAATCAATAGAATTGATGATGCATAACAATGAACATAAAGGTGATCAGGTAAACGAGGTCAAACATGTAAGCGTGTATGGAACAACATCCTATTTAATTACGCTTTGTAGATATTATTGTAAATGACCATTCAGTTTTAAAAAAATTACCTTAGATTTTAAAATAATTCTTCAAATAAGAATATTTATAAATGAATTCGAATATGTATGATATTCATTATTATATTTAAAAACACTGTACATCGTGATAAATACTGGGGTACGCTAAAGGGTATTCAAAGTTATTTTCTTACATTTCAGCGGGTCACATCTAATTAATTTAGTCTAAAAGATTGAAGTTATAAGAAATAAGTTAATAAATATGATTTGATGAAAAATTTGAAAAGGTTTTAAACGAATAATCGTCAGAACCACGTTGTTTGAACTAGTACACATGTGCGCATGTGTCTATTGTCCGCTGTTGGGAAATTTAATTATGCATCCTAATTCTTCAATAATGCTAAAATTATCATTGATTCCTTTATCTAATGTTCATTTCGAGTATTTTCTTGAAGAAATAACTTGAAAAGGCTACTTAACTCAATCGTAAACTTACACGGATATTACGTATCCGTCTCTGATCCGTGATTTACCATTGTCAAGTCAACATCCGGCATTAGGAAAATGTGATTTTAAAAACAAAAGTAAAGCTTTTGACAGGGTTATTTTGCACAAATAAAGAGTCTAAAGCGGAATTAGTACGCTGATGTTGCACACTTCGAATGCTGCACTTTCAATTTAACACTTTACGTCAGAACATCGAATTTATGTCAAAGTAAAGTTTAACATCGTTTTAATGTCAATCATTGGTTATATCATATATGATGGCCAACTGATTATCATAGTTCGGGATAAGATATGAAATATCCGGCTGGCTCAACAAAATTTTGGAAGCCCTGTTCTCTGGACACCACGTGGGCTTTGAAAAGGGAACTACAAAAGGTACTGTTTTCCAGATTCTTAACAACATTATATATTATACGTTCTTTTATTTGACTGATATTATTTCATAACATGCTATTGTCATCTTCTCTGAATTTCTTCGCTTTCTTGAAGCCAAAACGGAACAGGGTATTTGATCGCTTCATATTGTAAATGACCATCGGAACGTCTCTCTTGTTATCCTTGCAAACATACGATACTTTCCTGACTTTAAATAAACGACCAATCAGTGACCTGAATGAACGTGAACTATATTTAGTCAAAGGTAAACACTGATTTTGCATCCTTGTTTATCGCGACTGCGACTTTGCGACAATACGACTCTCGACACTTGCCTGTATACATTTTTTATACGACCGCAAAAAAATTTTGTGGTCGTATATTGGTATGACGTTGGCGTCGTCGTCCGAAGACACATTGGTTTTCGCACTCTAACTTTAGTTTAAGTGAATGGATCTCTATGAAATTT